TAAATGATAAATGATAAATGATAAATGGGAAATGGGAAATGGGAAATGGGAAATGGGAAATGATAAATGGTAAATGGTAAATGATAAATGATAAATGGTAAATGGTAAATGATAAATGATAAATGGTAAATGATAAATGGTAAATGATAAATGGTAAATGGACTATAGCGCCTTTCTATTCATCCAGGACACTCAAAGCTCTTCACACTTCAGACATTCACACATTCACACACTGATGATGGTAAGCTACATTGTAGCCACAGCTGCCCTGGGGCACACTGACAGAGGCGAAGCTGCCATTCACAGGTGCCATCGGACCCTCTGACCACCATCAGTAGGCAAAGCGGGTAAGGTGTCTTGCCCAAGGACACAACGACTGAGTCGACTGGACGGGAATTGAACCGGTGACCTTCCGGTTCCAGGTCGACTCCCCTAACCACTCTACCACAGTCGCCCCTGTGAGATGTCAGTGCTAACCACTGATCCACCGTGCTGCCCTGATGATGATGATGATGATTAAAAACACCTTCTGAAGCTGAAAGACCTGAGCTGATCCCTCTGATGGACCCATCGTCTCCAGTCGCTCACAAGACTTTTATCTAAACGTGAACTAAAACTGGACGGAGACAGGGACGGACGGACGGATGGATGGACAGATGGACAGAYGTGCCTTCTGTCTTTGAGGGACTGTCTTCATCTCTGCAGCTTCTGGAACCTGCTGCTCCGAGTCAGAAACAAAACAAACAAACAAATAAACCAAAGAAGAAGAAATAAAACTCAAATCTCTTTTTTTTAATAAACTGACTTTTCTTCTCTGCAGCTCAGATGATTTAGTTTGTTTTTCAGACGAGGAACTAAAAAACTAATAAAGTAAAAAACTAATAAAGTAAAAAAACTAAAAAACTAATAAAGTAATAAAGTAATGAACACGCCTCATTCTGCAGAAACATCTTTATCACCAGACTGAAAATGAGAGAAAACAAGCAGATTCTTACCTCCATTTTCTCCATCATGTCAAAGAAATGAGCCGACTGCAGAGAAACAGAAAGTCCTCTGAGACAAAATGATTTATGTCCCCATAAAATGTCCAGCTCAGTGACGTCAACGAGCAGGACACTAAAAGGACATGAAAGATTTGTCCTCTGTTATCAGGAGGACATGTCCTCTGTTGTCCTCCTGATGACAGAGGACATGTCCTCTGTTATCAAGAGGACAACAGAGGACATGTCCTCTGTCATCAGGAGGACATGTCCTCTGCACCAACATGTTACCTTCATGGTGGGCGGAGCTGTTCGGGGTGGAGACGGTGGGCGGTCCACAGGGACATTAGGGAGGTTCAGGAGGTCATGTTTCCTGCAACAGAAATCAATAATAAATCAATAACAAATCAATAATAAATCAATAAATCAATAACAAATCAATAATAAATCAATAACAAATCAATAAATCAATAACAAATCAATAATAAATCAATAACAAATCAATAAATCAATAACAAATCAAAACAAATCAAATCAATAATAAATCAATACCAAATCAATAAATCAATAACAAATCATAACAAATCAAATCAATAATAAATCAATAACAAACTGAAACAATGATAAATC